CCGCCGGCCGACTTCAGGGACGACTGTCAGTAGCCGCGCGCGATGTAGGCCCTACTCCCTATAGTAAACCATTGAGAACTTCGATTTTTTTATTCTTTGGTACACGACGTCGCCAAGGATCTGTATTGAAAATAAAAATGATTTAAAAGAGAAACTATTTACTTAAAAGAGAAGAGCTATTTAGTAAATTTAGTTACTTCTATTGTAAATAACTTGAAGAAATTGTTATTTTTAAACAGACAATTTATAAAAAGTATTTCACGTCAAGGTTTGTAAAAAGAATTTTCATCTTTTGCGTCTTACACCTACATTAATGTGATAGACGGATACGTTTAGTATTGCTAACAAGTTTTACATTATCGACTTCAATTTGCGTTGTAGCAAAACAGAGTAGATGTTCCAACGCTTCATTAGTCAACGTATTACGTTGAGCAAATTTTATGTACTTCATTGAAGAAAATGTGCTTTCACAAATATATATTGATCCGAAAAAAGATTTTATTTTAAGAGCGAAGTCTGTCACGTCGGGGGCGCGCGAGTGCGGATGCCCCTCGGACGCGGCGTGGGCCCGTCCAACGACGGCTCGGCGTGATTCTCGCCCCGAGCGGCAAGGGCGATAATCACGGTTCGCGAGGTTAAAAGAGAGATAACGATCACGAAAGGAAAAAAAAACTAGTTCGCATAGGTTAAGACGTTCTTTTATTTGGTACTCTCCATATGAAATCGCGAGTAGAGACGAATTGTCCGGTGACAGACTCTATTCGTTGGACCGTCGGCACCGGTCTCGTGGGTAGAGGCGGCGGTGGCAGCGGATCCTGGGAGTTCCCAGGGACGGGAATAATATCCCGGCAGCTGGACTATGCTCGGGTCAGTGAATTCGCGCGGGTCGAATTTTTCCCGCCAATGATATTCCCGCTGCATCTGCTTGAGGGCCTTGTCGCGGCCGGCGCGATTTCCCTTTGACATCTACGACCAAAGGTGCGGTTTGTCTAAGGGTGCTTCAGGAAGTGTCGAGCAAAATAATATGAGCAACGATAGAAATCCTAATTTCTACAGCGACAATTGGTTCGGAGTAGGATGAGCGATAGGGGGCCCTGAAGGGGGCTCTTGCTCTCCGCTCGGAAGGCCGGCCAGGGCTCTGTCTTGAGCGACTGGAGGGCAAGGCTAGGGCGCTCTGGAGGCCCTGAGAGGGGCTTCCTAGAACGGATTTCAAGGAATGAGAGTTAAGAGGGATGCCTCGGCGGCCCTGAGAGGGGCTTCCTAGGCCTGGTTATAGGTGACTGTCGCCCCGGAGGATAGGGAGCCTGGCGCGGTTTTCATGCGCCACAACGCGCAAGGCTTCCCACTCCAGATTCACTAAATTGCAACAGTAATTGGACGGCACAGACTTTACAGGCGCTCCGAATCGCGTTAATTTCGCCTTTCGAGGGAAAGGCAGAGTGAAAGAAGAAGATAAAGAAAAACAAAGATAAAAGAAAATAGATTTTAAACGTTTTATTCCGTTTGGATTTCTGCTAAAGAGATATATACAAGATATTGAATATAATGACTGAGATTTTATTGGTTCGCACCCGATAGTTAGAAATTTAATGTTTATACGAATGGAGAAAAGTGCGTCTAACGGAAGTGCCACATGCAACTCACTTTTCGTCGAGATATTGTTCGGCTATCCTTGTAATATGGTGAAGTTAGGTAGACGAGGACCCTGCAGGCGTAGGAGGACTCCCGTCTTGACGCTCGGATAACAAACTTTATCACGGCACTTGGTGTCTACAGCCGACTGAAGGCGCAACTAACACTGGTCGGAACTGAGCGATATTAAGCTGAACTGTAATAATCGGTACGAAGTCGGAACTAAGCGATTTTCCGTCTTTGGCGTGCTCTTTTATATCGTTAGAAGTGGTGGTGCTGAGCGGGAAAGGGGGTTGACCTGTCAACAGTTACCGGAACCGTTTGAATTGTTCTAGAACTTTCGATTTAATAAGATTTTATTAGATTTTACTGTTTAAAAGGGCGAAATTGCCGAATCTAAATGTTGACAGGGCCCTCTTAGTCGCTCCGCCCCTGTGCTGCATACTGTGCAGTCGCTGTGCGCGTTTATTCGCGTTA